CTCAAACACACACACAGACAAACACAAACACACACCAATCAAACACACACATACATGCATGCCCGTGCACGCAATTTCCCAGACACAATGAGTCAAGAAGGAGGCAGCGTGAGAAATTGAGAATTTCATTTCAATTGCTGATTTACGACGATCAAGATGGCATGTGGATAACACCATTTCCAGGAACGACCTCGACAATTGAGACCAAGTTGGGGCCAAGATCTTGCCAATAGTCCAAACCCCATCTCAAAATTACCTCCTCCTTTGATGGACTGATGACCATCGCCATCTCAATCCCCATGTTAAATGTGTGGCTCGTCTCCTTGTCACCGATTCATCCGGTCTGCTGGATCCACCGTGAGACACGTGGTGCTTCCCAGGAAGTCAGGTCGATCTTCGCAGCCAAGCCGTCGTCCAGAATACAGAGGATGTTGCCAGTAAACCCGCTGCCGGTGATGGGAGCATTTCCCTTGATTCGTACCTTCTGGATCATATCCGTAACCTGCTCGGCAGAGATAACCTTAGGGGTAAGAAGAAGAGAGGCAGCGATGGTTGTTCCACTGTTGTTGTCCTCCTTGTCTTTCTGACTCTTTTGATGGCGACGGCGATGGCAGTTGGAAGCGCCGATGATTGTCGCCATTGTGCCCCATTCGTGCTGAAAGTAGCAGTCGATGACACGGCCAAACCACAGCTCTAAGTCCGAGTATGGTTTGCCTTGCCTCCTCTCCCTCTTCTCTTCCTTCTTCTTCTCTTTTTCTTCTCCTCCTCCCCTCTTTTGCATCCCATCCTTTACACAACTACACTGCATAAATTCAGAACAGAGGCTTGCTGGACCACATCAACTTGAGCGTCCGTACACTATCCTGCCCTAACCCACCCTCTACCCTGCCCTAACCCTACCTAGCCACCATCGTCAGAGCTTCTCTCCTACACACACACACACACACACACACACACACACACACACACACACACACACACACACATGCATGCATGCTGCCCTCCAACTACGCGCCGAATAGGACATGAACTCGTGATTTCTCACCAACAAGCCAAGACAGATCAATTGAGCAATCGATTACGAGATCTGACGACCGACGGGCAATTCCAAAGAGATGAGAGAGCAGAAAAAGGAGAGGAAAGAAAATATTTTCTTAGCTGGGTTTCGATCATCCAACCATAACTTAAGTCTCACTAACCGGAATGAAATGCACGATTTCTTTGGCTGAGAACTCTGAAAGAATGTAAATCCAATAAGAACTTGACCTTCATTGAACTTCAAAATGAAACAGAAAGTGCAATATACAAAACCGATGTTACGCTCAAGGTATCATAAAAATAAAATTAGTAAAATACACAATTTCAACACTTACAAGTTGCAAACCACTAACTGCAGGCAATCAATCAGTTAATCGCTAGTTGTACTGGTAGCCTGTAATAAACTTGATTTACACTATGATTAAACCAGTGCTAGTCTATTTAACTCTACGCCGCCTACGGTTACTTGTGCGTGATCTCTTTTTATACAGGAGAAAGAAGACACTTCCACAATATTACCGTTCCTCATATGATTCCTGCGCAGGCTTTTATTATTATTTACTATTATTCACAGTTTCATAACCCTTGTCCTCCTGATCATTACACTACCAAGACTACAACTGTTGTCGTCCTGTTGCTTATGTGACCACCAAGTCTCCGTCCAACTCCAGCTCACTCTGCGATCTCTTCGCACTGCCCAAGGAGCCCGATGTCAGATCGAGCGTTTGCATTTTGTCCACATGTTCATCTGTTCTGCTGTATCTCATCTCATCAGCTTGTGCAGATTGCGCGGCCAGCACTTCTGTGCTTCCAATCGCCACCATCCCCCTCTTCCACTGATACGCTCTGGTTGGCTTTGCGATGTTGATGGGAGCACAAACCCCCTTTTTTGTAGACGATCACTGCCCCAGTAGTGCGAGTGTGTGCATTTTGTCCACATGTTCGTCTGTTCTGCTCTATCTCATCTCATCAGCTTGTGCAGATTGCCCTGCCAGCAGTTCTGTGCTTCCAATCGCCACCATCCCCTCCTTCCACTGATACGCTCTGGTTGGCTTTGCGTTGTTAATGGGAGAGCACAAACCCCCTTTTCGAAGACGATCACTGTCCCAGTAGTGCGAGTGTGTGCGTTTTGTCCACATGTTCATCTGTTCTGCTCTATCTCATCTCATCAGCTTGTGCAGATTGCGCTGCCAGCAGTTCTGTGCTTCCCTCGTCATCATCCCCTCTTCCACTGATACGCTCTGGTTGGCTTTGCGATGCTAATCGGGGCACCGAACCTCTTTTTCTTGAAGACGATAACTGTTGTCTTCGACCAGTCGATTTCTTAGGAATGATCTGCGGTACGCTGTCGAGGACATCACTGACCTCTTGGCGGAAATCGAGTTTCGCTCGATTTGTCCTCCCACCAACATATACCGTTGAGCCCGCCTGCAGCGCCCAGATCTGAGAATGGGAGAAGAAGCTGAGAAATGAGGTGAGCATCAGTGCGCCAAAGCCAGCGTACACGTACGGTACACCAGGGTCCGCCTTGAGCTCAAGTCCGGAGCTGCCAATCATATCACTGATCACTAGCTCTACACCATCCACCTTGATTGGCTTTTGGGAACCCGGTCGTCGAACACCCACGAATTTCCCCTCCGAGTCGTAAATTGCCACCGACTGCAGATCGCGAGCCAATAAAGAGATGCCCTTTTGTCCGGAATCGGTCAGTTGGGGGAGGGGAAGAAATGTGCCGAACAGCTTTGCATCTTGCCCTGGCTGCAGATCTGCCATGGGTAGATTGAACAGATCCGACCCATCAGCGCTTAACTGAATGGTGGAAATACCCCAATCTGTCTGGTACATCGTTACCCCCTGAAATCGAAACGGATCATTCACATAAATGCTCTTTTTTGCAACCTCCCTGTCTCTCAAATCCACCACCGACAAATCTGTATGGAATTGATTCACCTGGCCATTAGGTCGGTAATCCACGTAGAATCGATCTATGCGCACCCCATAATTCATCGACGAAAAGGGAGTAGCTAGCGGTCCGGACGGCCGAAGCACGTCTGCAATAAGGAACTCCGTTCCCTGGGGGGTCAACGTTGTCCCTCGGTAGCTGCTCAGTGCACCGAATGCCGATCCTGCCATAATGAGAAGAAGACTGGCATGGACGCCAATAGGAGCAAGGCGTCCAACCAACCCTTTAAACGCATACATGGAAGGGCCATTCATAAAGACCTCATAGTCCTTTACCTTTAGGATATTTGCCAGATCGTCAATAGAGGCCCTCGGCAAGGACTCACTAACCTCCATCTTCGAGAAACCCGAAGGGCTTTGTGCAAACGTCCATCTCCGAGCAATCCGAACCATTGGCCATTGCCGAGTTGAGGTGCAGGCAATTAAGGAAGCGGCCAAGAGCATCAATAACCCAAGGAAGAGAGGGGATGTGTACACATGGTCGAATCCCAGTGCCAAGATGACTCTGCCAAGTGGCCAGTTATGGGACGAATAAAACTCAAGGTAGTGCTCTGGACTCTCACCCTGCTCGATAATCGTTCCAACCGCACAAAGTCCTGCGATGACGAACAGCTCTCCTATAGCCAACTTGAGTGAGGACAGCCGTTTGGCCACGATGCGCACAGGACCCCTCCAGGCTCGCGGGATCGACGGCCATAGTCCCGCCATGTCCTCCTTTTGCTCGCGGTGCGTCTCTATACTTGCCCTTGCTGCTGCGCCTCTGCCTGGACTGCCGTTGATCTTCCCAATTGCGGCCGCTTCTTCCATCTCGCTGCCTGAGTCCAACGGGGGTGCTGAGGTCGGGACGTCTAGCAGAACCCCCTGCTGAACAGCACCAATCTCGACCGGCGAATCGGGAGAATCGGGATCGGTGGGAATTGACAAACGGCGGCGGGAAGTCTTCTTAGTGATAGCCGCTGCAACAACACTCTTCCTCCGTTGCCGCTGCCGCTCCATCATCGGATGTTGATCAGGGTCGCCCGGCTCATACCTCATCCCAGCCCTCCCCCCATCGCTTCTGCGCCAGAAATGGCCGCACGTGTTTGCCCCTACGAAGCTGATGCCAACAGCAAGAGCAGCATAAGCCATCCCCATTTCCCTGGTTCCACTCCTAATCCACCTGCGTGAGCTCCCACGTTCCACATGGCTATGACGATCACTATTTCCATAGTGACAGTGATGATAGTGATGAGTGGACCGCTCACTACCATAGCCTGTAGTTGTCCTCCTCCTTGATGTGCTTCCCCATACTCGATATACACAGCAACAGCAGCAGCAGCAGCAAGCGCAAGTACTCCTTACTTGGCCGGCCACCGCCAGCCCTACCTGCGTTCCTCCCCCCCTTCCACACTCCGATATCCCGCGCAGCCTATGCTGTCCTCCATGCGACTCCCAGCCGCCAATCGCAAGCCATCTGCAATCCTGCGTGGGGAGGAGGAACGGCCGGGTGAGCGCAATGGCCGTGGCCATGTCGTTGACGTCAACAACGACGAAGAAGATTTCCAAGAGCAATCCAACAGCACGGCACGGCCTGCTCCAGGTGAGGAAAAATATAAGTAACAACAAGTGGCGTCCCACGCCGTCGACTTACCACGGCACGGCACATCACCTTCCAACGTTGAGGGGGAGGATGGGGAGGGGCCGCATGAAGTGCACACAGCCAACAATGCCTGGAATCCCGGCACCGACACAAGATGGAACAGCAGGGAGACGAGGACAAGGTCGACAACACAGAAGGTAATAGACGCCTCCCTACACACACTGTGCAGCCTTCCTTCCTTACTGATTGTCGCCCACAACTCTGGACTCCCCCCTACTGATTGTCGCCCACGACTCTGCCCTTCGGACAGAACAGCAGGTGGAGGACAACTCCCGCTTCATAGTGCTGCCACAAAGAATAAAGTTGTCGTATACAAACTGATGCAGTCAAGTCAGTAATTCACCTGATCGAAGAAGCACTTATTCTTCAATCTTGGGGTGGGGGGAGAGACACAGACACACACACACACACACACACACACACACACACACACACACACACACACACACACACACACACACAGAGAGAGAGAGAGAGAGAGA